CTGAAACTTGGAAAACCTGACCTATGATTCAAGCCGGATCTTATGACACCGACCGCATTTTCTGGTTAGGTAAGGTCACTGACCTAATGTGCCACGATTGGGGTGCAACTGTACGTGCCCACGTGCAGGGTGACGCTTCCAGATCTCAGGAACGGCTGGGCCGATTGCATTCAAATTCGGCACACCTTTAGAGACCGTTTAGTAGGGTGCTGTGCACAAGTTAGTTAGTATGTATATTCATGTGTCACAGTTGGGGTGCAACTGCACGTGCGCACGTGTAGGGGTCGCTTCCAGATCTTGAAAACGGCTGGGCCAATTGAGCTTAAATTCGGTACACCACTAGAGACCGGCAACTAGGGTGCCGTGCACAAGTCAGTTGGGACCCAGCTTGCACGTGCGCACGTGAAGGGTGCCGCTTCAAGATCTCGAAAACGGCCGGGCCGATTGCACTCAAATTTGGCACACCGCTAGAGACCGGTTAGTAGAGTGCCGTGCACGTCAGCTCGTAGCACACCCACACCGGTCTGCACGTGCAAGGCTCATCCTCTCGTTTGGCGGCGGGCGTTTTTGCGGCGTTACAGAGGTGCTTGCTCAAACAACCTGCGGTCCCGCGATGCGGAGCCCAGCATCGCAGATGCTGGTAGAATTGTGTTTTTCTATTGAAAAACAAATCTGAGTTCCCTGACAATTTGGCAAAAGCTGCCTGAGATCAGTACAACTTGATGCTCTAGAAAACGGCTGCTCCAAAAATTCTGATTTTTTCAGGATTTCTAGTGGGCCAGGTGATCTAGGTTCTGGCATGGGTCTCTACTCCGGGAACAATCTGGTGCACGTGCCACGTGACTTTGAAAATTTCCATGTTAAGCCAATGGGGAAAATGAAAAAATGCGTTCCGCGGCAGATTGCTCGAAAACGATCCAAACGACCCCCCATTTTCTTCCATGCGGATCAACCACCATTCGGTGCACTACCTATGGGTATGTCGCAAAGTGGCCGGAAAAGTCCAGAACCACGTGCCACGTGCCGTTGAAAATGACCCTGCACACCGGAAATTTGGACTTTAGGTCATTTCGGCTCACCCGCGAAGCAGACTATGACGTGGGTGACCAAACAATGGGTGTCATCTGGTCGGCAACTGTTTAAGGTGTCGTCCAGTGGGTCAAAGTGATAGTTCCAAACTTTTGGGATCCACCATTCTGAGGATTCTCTTTGACAATTACCTACGTGTCTTGGCACAATGTTTAGTCCACCCGGCCGGTCGTCAATGCGTTAGGTGACCCAAATGACGATTGACCTGAAGGAAGCTAGGGGCGAGGAACACGCACGTGCCTTCCGTTTTTTAGTTGGGCGCTTCCATCTAGGAGATTTTTGCAGAGATCTTTTTGATTTGTGAAAATGACCAAAAAGCTGCTGAATCTCTGGACTCCTAGCGGTACATGCCAGTCGTTGCGTTGGCGTTTCGGGCGTGCGTTTTGCGCGTTTTGCGGTGTTTGCGTTTTGCGGCGGGCGGGCGTTTTGTGTTTTTTTTGCGGTGTTTGTGTTTGGCGGCGGGCGGGCGGGCGATGCGGGCGGTTTTTTCGTCGTTTGCGGTGTTAAATTTGTTTGCGGTTGGCGGCCGCTTTTTCGTTTCTTTTTTTGCGGTGTTTGCTTTTGGCGGCGGGCGGGCGATTTTTAGGCGTTTTCGGTTGGCGGTTAGTGGGCGTGCGATGCGGGCGGTTATATCTTTTGCGGTGCTTTTGCGTTTCTTTTGCGGTTTGCGGCAGGCGTGCGTTTGTTTATTGTTTTTGTTTGCGACGTTTGCGTTGGCGTTGGGGTGTGCGTTTTGCGCGTTTTGCGGTGTTTGCGTTTTGCGGCGGGCGGGCATTTTGTGGTTTTTTGCGGTGTTTGTGTTTGGCGGCGGGCGGGCGGGCGATGCGGGCGTTTTTTTTTTTGTGTCGTTTGCGATGTTAAATTTGTTTGCGGTTGGCGGCCGCTTTTTCGTTTCTTTTTTTTTGCGGCGTTTGCTTTTCGCGGCGGGCGGGCGATTTTTAGGCGTTTTCGGTTGGGGTAGCGGACGTGCGATGTGGTCGGTTTTATTTTTTGCGGTGTTTTTGCGTTTCTTTTGCGGTTTGCGGCAGGCGTGCGTTTGTTCATTTTTGTTTGCGACGTTTGCGTTGGCGTTTGGGGTGTGCGTTTTGCGCGTTTTGCGGTGTTTGCGTTTTGCGGCGGGCGGGCGTTTTTTCACAATTTAAAGTCCAAACCTTCGGGCCACAGCGCTCTTCGAAAAGCGCTGCCCTCGAGTATGCACCAATCGTGTGCTTCCGTTTGTTTGGACTGCATTTTACCATATCCACTGCTGTGGTAAAATGCAGTGAATGCGACATTATCTAATGCCGTGAATACGACAGCATTCCATTTATAAGATTGGGGCAATGGAGTCGCGCCCCGCGAGCTCGGTTTTCCGCTCGGCCGCTACGGGCCGAGGAACTCGATCTTCGCCTGAGGGCAGGACGGAGGTCAGCGAGGGAGCGCGGGGTCAGCCAGGTATTGCCCAGTGCCGAGCGGGTGCCGCTCCCTCTCCTCTCTTCCCCTCTTCTCCCCTCCCCACCTCGGTATAGATGGGGAGGGACCGAACTGCCAATGACATGCGAGCGGTCAAGGCCGCTCGCGCGGCAGCGACCCTAGCGGCCGGGTGCCGCAACTGGGATTCAGCCAAGTTACCGATTCGCCTCCTGTGGGAGAGCCAAACCAGGGGACATACTTTTTAGATATATGTACTGTACGGGTCGTGGGCCGTGTGGTGTGTCTATGGCCCGGGGCGGTGACCCGAGCTTATGTCAGGGCCGGCCAGGTAGCGCCGGCCAGTTGATCTCTGGACCTCCTCGCGAGGGGGTACGGTACTGATACCGCCCCGGTCTGTGAGGCAAGGGCCGGTCGTATCAACTCGGGCTCCGGGCGGAATCGGTTTAGCCACCGGTCCACTGCACCCCGGTGTCGGCGAAATTAAACACTGGCAAATAACTTAAACTATCAATGTCCCCACTTGAATATTACGTTGTATTGATCTCGATGTAAGGTCCGCTGGTTTAGTTTCCCTCGTTTGGGTCGCTTCGATTAGGCATAGTGTGAGCCTCGTCATATCTGTTTGCTCAGTTGTATGCAATACAGGTCCACTTGAGTTAATTTCTTGTTATTTGAAAATCAAGGTAAATCGTTCGGTTGGTGTCGTCACCATCGTTCTGATCGAAAGACGTAAATGTAACAAATACAGTCCACTTTTATCAGTAATCACAACAGTGAAGGATGCCACCTTAACCTTCTCAGATGCTACAGAACCGAGCTCATTAACATGCGCAGTGGAAGCGGGGGACGATGGGGGGTGTGAATTTTGCCGACCCCTCCTGTTTTTTCTTCTTCAGATATCTTACGCCTTTGTCATCCCATTAACGTCAAATTGTCAAGTTCCGCCTAAAATTGAATTGTACATCTTGCCATGAAAGCAACGAGTAAATCGGTGTACAACTTTTCATATTAATAGAGGTGTAAAGTCAAAAATCCCTCCAGCGGCGGCGCGGTGGCCGGTACCGGGCAATTCTCACTGCTGGCACCGGACGGTTCCTTTGCATTGCGCTGCTTACCGCTGCTAATGCTCCATTCGCATCAAGCTATCTTTGGAGACCTAGAAATGTACATTGTACAGGCAATCTTAGGTATATTGAAAGAAATACGAAAATTAGCAGGTAACATTTTGAGCTGTGATAGTACTGAGTACAGTGTGTAAACAAAATTGTTACTGAAACGGTTCCTGCGTCGGCTGTTCCCCGCCTCAACCCGAAGATATCTTACTCTTTATAGCAGAGTTCTAATTGCAATTAGTATAGCTTAAGCTTTTTGAGGTATTCATGTATTACCTAATGACAGCGTCATATAAGGACAGCGTCATTAGGTCATACATCAACCGCGCAATCAAACACTGCTCGTCATTTTGCTCTCGACGGAAAACGACTTAAGCTAGGGGCTCGAAATTTGGCGACTTTTCCTTGCTTTTCATTGGCCAAATTGTGTCCGATTTTTTAGTTTCTAGCTTGCACAGAGGCGCCTGCAGGACGAGTTTCTCGGGGGTAGTTTTGGCCCAGATTTGACTGTTTCATTTGCCGCTAAGCAGCGACTTACTTAGGGTTATACTGGTGACCTGTGGCACCACCGTCATACTTATCCGCCTAAAGACTATGTGACGTCATTTTACAATGAAAATATTGGAATAGGCGGATCCAGGTACCTGAGAAAGGGTACCTGAATATCAATGTACAGCCCCCCGTCTTAGCGTGCTTGAATCCGCCTATGCTTAACGAAAACGTGTATTTTGTGCTCACGTTGCATATTTTACATGATATATGACACATCATGTCATAAGACACATGATGTGCCATGACAAAAACTCAAAACATCATCCCAAGTTAGCTTACCTGAATCCGCCTATAGTTTTTGAAATATCCAAAATACCGGAATATGTATGAAGGCCCAGTTCATGAAGAAGGGTTTCCTGAAGTTTGATCAAAATCGGTCAAAAAAGAAAGACGTTATATAATTTTTAGTGATGAGGTGTAAATCGCGATTTTTTTCGAAAATTTTTGCTTCCAGGACCCCCAATTTTGAACTTTTTTTACTTTTTAAAGTCAATCGAAAAGTTCACGATGAGAACAATCGAATGGCGTTTGACCCACCCAAGATCGGACATTTAGTTTTCGAGATATCAAGGGGGGGGGGGGCGAATCGCCAATCGGCCCCCCTCCACCAGTTAACGTAGTCCAGAGAGCCCACCAGTAATATGGTTAAGTCGCCTCGGGTAACATCACCGGCATTGCGATGTGATATAAGAATCGATTGAAGCATGGTCCGCTGGCGTATGTACGTGGGTGTCGCGTTCTCCTGCCGTGGTGCAGTGCGCTGGTGAAAGCGGCGGCGTCGACCCGGAGCTACGTGAACGACACAATAAAGCCACCTCACTAACCTACTTGGAGCCAGTGCCGAGTCAGCCCGCCCGATGCCAGGGGGCCTGTGCGTCGCAGCACAGCGATCAGTCGTCTGGCAGCAGCGCAACCGGCGACCGACACTGCCGCAACCGGCGACCGACACTGCCGCACCCGGCGACCGACACTGCCGCAACCGGCGACAGCCAGGTGAGCCCAGCGGGTCGCAACGCATAATTTGGCTATTATTTTTTTTTGTAAATACATACATTTTAAATTTGCACGTGCCTCAGGTGTTGACCTACTTTTTAAATTTTGACATCAAAGAACATATAGACTTGTTTTTTATGATCTATACGCGTTAAATGATACAAAGATCAATGATGGTACCTATACAGCTAAAATGACACATCATCCAACTTCCTCTTTCTGTGTAAGGTTAGTAAAAGTGAATAAAACTAGCTAATTAAAGAAGTTAATAAATTTATTATAAGACATTGTTGATAACCAATTCTCATACACTCATTCATACTGAATTACAAAGTGTAAGCTGAAGGGGATTATCAGGGTTTTGAAAAATTGCAAGGGCTATTGAACATTGTGCTTGTTCTCAGTTGCTGGTTTGCTTAGGCTCTGTTTATTTTTAGTACGGGCGAGCGAAGTCTTCGTAGAACAGCAGACTTCTCTGAGTATGAGCGGCCGACCGTTGGGACGCTTTTGCAAAGCTCGTGTCTCCACAACCACTAGACCAATTTACTTGCGGTAATTTTGTAGGGTAGCTTCTAGCTGCAAACCTTCCACCAAGTATTCCACCAGGGGGTCCTTTTCGAGCAACTTAACCCTCGCCCATATAGGGGGGGGGGTCGAACGGACCCCCCCCCTCGGTTTTTCGCGAATAAGTCGCGTAAAAATCGAGTGATCGCAACGAAACTATCAGTACCCTCGCGTTAATCAATTTTACACCTACCCTGAAATTTTAATGACCCTGACCCTAATGGCCTTTGACCTGTGACCTACTTTTCGAGACCATGTTTGGCTGGAAATTGGAATCGTGATTCGGCGTATGTCGGCTCGCATTAGCAGCGCGTTTGCAGTCTTTTCGTGGTTTTAAGCGTTCAAACATGGGATATGATGCTGCTCCCATGCATGAGGGACCCTCATTGAGGGTGGCTGTCAAGGTCACCGGAAGGTCAAGTCAGGTCATTGACCTTTGATGACCTCGGTTCACTTTTTTCGAGTTTTACATGTTTCTAGGCCAGTTTTTGAGGCTGAATTCGAATTCAGCAACCATATAAACATTTACGAAGTAGTTTTGGTGCCTTCGTAACATGTTACGAAGCTGTCAGAGGCAGTTGTCACCTACTACGAATACCCTTACTGGTTGACCTGACCTGACCTGACCCGACCTGGCCTAAATGCATAAAGACATCATCTGTGATCAAAACTAACATGATATTCGTGATCAGCACCCCGAAAAAACCCATAACAGTCACGCTTTACGACTTTCTAACAGGTCCCGATTTTCCCGACTTTTGGGTCATTGACCTGACCTGGAAGGTCAACCGATGACCTAGGACCTTAAAATTGGGTATCATTGGCTTCCTCTCGTCACGGGCAACACGCTCGTTTTTTTCGCGAAGCTCTAGCTCGATCAGGGGCGAAACGGCAAGGGGGGTCCAACGGACCCCCCCCCCCTTCTCGAATAACTTCAAGGTATCCCACCTAGGAACAAACTAATAGCACCATCGTGATCTTCTCGTCGATCCGCATCGAAACATATGTATGTTGACCTCGAAAGGTCGAAAGGTCAAAAGTTGATCTTGAGTCACGTGACCTAAGGTCAACTTTTTACCTTTCGACCTTTCGAGGTCAACATACATTTGTTTCGATGCGGATCGACGAGAGGATCACGATGGTGCTATTAGTTTGTTCCTAGCTGGGATACCTTGAAAGTTATTCGGAGAAAAACTTCATATATATGTAGTGCCGCTATTTTGACTTCCTTTTTGCTCCTGTGACGTCATCTTTGACCTGACCTGAAAATGACCTCAGTAAAAATTATAGACCTTATCCGTGTGTACCCTGTACCGTTTACCGCTTGTCGCTATCTTGCTTTATTCTCGAGATCTCGCTGTCGCTCCCGCTCGTAATAATGGACAGGTCATAAAAATGACCTGACCTGAGGTCAACGCAGGGCGATAACCACTTTTTTTATTATTGAATATGAATGACAATTGATAAGGCTTTAATCGCCATCAGACAAAATTGCAACTTTCAGTGGGGAAAATATCAAGGTCACTCTTCGAAAAATAGGTCAAAAGGTCACGTGATAAAAAGTTTCAAAAATTGAAAATACGAGATAGCCAAAATGTTTGTTGGTTGATTGTGAGTTGAACCATATAAAGTTTTTATCGTAGAAAACCAATAGTTTCTGAGTTATAGGCCGCCAAACATAGGGCTGCAGCGCGACCTCCAGGAATTGCCCGAGGCTATATCTCGGAAACCGTTGTTCGAAGAAAAAAATCCTTGCCACAGCTGGCTTCCCCGCCCATCACAACCCATTAGACCAATTTTAAGCAAAAAATAAAATATGAGGGTGCAGGGCACTTGTCGATTTGTCGTGGAACGCCCCCTGTGTGGATGATGACCTGTGACGTCACAACAAGGGGTCAGCCTCGACCAATCAGAAAACACTTTGGTGAATCGTAAGGAAAGGCATGTTAAATTGTGAATATTCGAGTCATTATGAAGACATGTCATATATATGCATCCACATAAACCTCCTTGAACATTTTTCTTGGACCTAGGACGTCACATGAAGGTCAAATAAGGTCAAATTGTACCGGTTTACAACGAAAAACAATTTTTCACATATAAGTGACTTTAATCACGCAAAGGATCATATTCAGTCAGCAAGAGGTTGATAAGAATCATAAATATTACTCCTTACTGATTTAAAGCACAAATACCGAAAATATTGTGACGTCATAAGAACAGTCGCTACTTTTTCAGTCACTCAAATGCCTATATCTCAGGCAGTTTTTGATATATTTTGTGAATTTTTGGCATGTGTAGGGCCAGTAAGGGGTTCTCTAACATATATTCCGGTTTTTTGAAAATTTTCGTAAATTGAAAAAAAAAATATCTCAAGAAGTCTAAATTTTGCGTTAGAAAATCCCTAGATCTAAAGTTTTTATATTTTGGAAATTTCGAGATAATCATTTTGTTTGCCATCCTTTTTATACCTACGAACCAATTTTTGAGTCGCTAAGCTGAAATCCTGATTTTCGGCGATTTTTCTCCGTGAACAACTTTTTCGACGAAAAATCGCCGAACATGACCTCAGTTTGACCTCTATAGCTCGTGACCTGAGATGACCTGGGACCTAATTTTTTCAGCATTGGTGTAAAAGTGATGCCCAAAGAGGTGCTGAAAATTTCAAGTTGAAATTCTCAGCCGTTTCTGAGTTATTTTTGAAAAAAACCACAGGGGTCGCGGGTTAAATGGCCGTTAGCTCGTTAACGGTGCAAAATACCATCCTAAAGAGGTACAGTCCACAGCATAAGTAATGTGCGGTTTCAGTCCTGGGTATGTTCTGCTTCTGAAGCTTAGGAATGATTAGCCAGACCACAATGAAACTTTGAATGTAGCTAGCCTGTATCACCCTTGCAGCTGCAACTTTATCTATTGACGTCTTCTTTTCGATCACTCCGCATTAAAAAATCGCCAGTCAAAGCCATCCGTTGAGATTGGTAAAACCGCACATTACTTTAGCGGGGGGCTGTACATACATGATCGGAATCAGCGCATCGAGGAGGCCCTGTATACCGATTTCCAGCCAAATCGAATGACCCCGCTGTTTTACGTTAACCTTCGCATGTGTAGGGGGATGGGGTCGGATGGACCTCCCCCATGATTTTTCGCGAATAACTCGCGCAAAAAGCGGCCGATCGCGACGAAACTTTCAGTACCCTCGAGCTGATCAATTCTACACCTACTCTTAAAATTTGATGACCCTGACCTAAGTGGCCTTTGACCTGTGACCTATTTCTCGAGGCCATGTTTGGCCGGAATCGCGATTCTGCGTAGGGGAGAGTGGGGTAATTTGGCCGCTTTTTTTAGAAAACGATGTAACTAAAAAATGACAACACATTTCTGCATTTTCTCAACGCTGACAGGTGTGGCATACATTTTACTTTACTGGACAGTTAACTTGAAATGATAGAGTAACTACTTATATTAAAATTGTGACGTATTACAAAGGTCTGCAAAGCGGCCAAATTGCCCCACTAGCAGGGTTATTTGGCCGGGGGTGTGGGGCAATTTGGCCGGTGTTAGTTTGAGGCCATGATTTTTGTTATAGGCGAGTCAGCCTCACATTCAGCAATGACGCTTGTCCTACGACGCATTTGAAGCATTTTGGAGGTTGACTCAGCCGTCACAGGGGTCGAAAATAGTCAAAATAGCGGCTCTAGATGCGATGACAGTTTTTTACGAATAACTTTTGAAGTAATCAAGCTAGGCCAAAACTAAAAGTACCATCGTAATTCTCTCGTCATTCCGCATCGAAACATGTATGTGTTTATCTCGAGAGGTCAAGGTCAAAGGTTGGCTTCAGGTCACGTTACCTCAGGTCGCTTGACCTCAAGGTTACGTGAGTCATCATGTCATCATGTATATCATGTATATCATTCGATGCACCTTGGCGAGCTGAACACAATGAGACCATTTGCGCGGCTGTATCTTTTTTCTGTAAGTATTTATTAGCAAAAAAGCGTTAGGTAACCTTTGATGACGTCACATGCCCTTACAGCTGTCCAATAGGAAATATGGCATCAAGGTAGTCAAAGTTGGTCATGAATCATGTCCTTTATGGTATAATTGACCATGACAACACGGCCGTCCCAGCATAGTGACTCTGAGCGCACCGGCCAAGTTGCCCCGCTAGATCCGGCCAAATAACCCCACATTGCCATTCTGAAAATTTTTGTCTATAAAGTTGTCATGGCTGTACAGAACTACATGAAATTGTTCTTGGAACCTCTGAACACCCTCAAGAATGGCGCTATAATGTTGGAATTCGTTTACAGCCCAAACACTACATGTTATACAAATTTTTAAACGGAAGTAAAAGTTACCATTTTCTAACGAAATTCACGTTTTATTAATTTTGAATAAAACTAAGAGGGGGTAAGTTTTGACATTTGTCC